AGCGAGTACTTTCCATCTGTGTTTCACGTTCAGTGTATCGGCCCATATTTCGCTGCCATATAATAGCACAGATTGTGTTGTATCCATGATCAGCTTCCATCTGCTTGCGAGCGGGTCTCCGGTCTTTGCCATAAGTCTTAATAGYGACATGGTGATATTTGCGKTATTTTTAGCAGCGTGCTGAATTTGAGTCCAGTACGTGAGTGTGTTATCCACCCTTATACCGAGATAATTGAGGGTGCTCTCGTTTCGATAGTTTCCGAGTGACAACAGCGGTATGTGAGAATCAGATTAATATTTTCTATGAGAATCAGTTTGACTCAGAGTTTGGTCAGTTCCTAACCAAAAGCCATACACTGTAACTAAAACATATGTCCATGTTGCCCATCTCTTACGAAGTTCTAGCCATCCCCTCTCACACACACACACCAACAAAAACAGTTTAGTCCTAAAATGTAGCACATATTCTTCCGCAGACATTTCCTTCCTTCAAAGGMTGCTCATACAAACAGTTTCCTAATATCGCGCTTATCACATGCATCTCGCGTAWTTCATTGATAATATCGCCAGAAGCGCTTCCTACGCACAACCTCCACCMGCTCAGCGCTCCGTTATGTCTTGCTCACATAATTATTTCGCTTTCGTTGCCCACTTTATCTGAGCTCTGACATTCCATTGTTTCGTATTGTTAGTTTTGTCGCCCCCGCCGCTTCAGATTGTCAACTGCCGTTTGTGCTGGCTTGTGCGTGCGCGCGCCTTAAAGTAGGCTTGTACTGCGATTAGTGCGGTTACAAGTAGAAAGGCGAAAACAATAAATTGCGCTAAACGGTCTACGGATGACTGTGGTTGAACTTAACAGCGCTTTTAGGATGTGTGCTTGGCGATTACATATAAAATATGCATATGCTTTTGCTTTGTTCAAATTGATAAATTCATTTGCTTTTGTTCTCAAGCTTAGACGCGCCATGCCCTAGCTGGCTTAGCTGTCAGAGTTCTATTGTTGCCACACATTCTATTAAGCAATATAATTTGTTTTTGTTGTTGGCGCAGGCTCGCTCATTGCTTGTCGCTTGGCTGCTGTTGCTTATCAATATGCAATAAAAATAAATAATGAAATTTATATTGAAGGAAAAAGCATATGCCGCCTAGAATATTGAATAAGAGATGAAAGCGTTGCATACACGTAGGCGCTTGGCATGTAGCAGCGCTGTTACTTTTACATACTTTAGATACACAGATAGAAATATGTAGCTGCTTGCAAGCAACCATATGCCTTTTATATCCATTACAAATACCTCTATATGTTTACATAAATATATGGTATATACATGCAGACATATATACATTTATATCCACTGTYGTTTATACACTSACATTTGCTTTGTCATATGTTTTAGTTAAGAGTTTTGGCGTTGGTTCCATTACYCTTTTATCGCCGTCATAACTTTCTGCTCGCATTTTATAACTGTTTTTCTGCTTCTGTCTCGTACACTATCTGACTTTCTGTGAATATTCATTACATTTTTTTTCTGCTTTTATTGCTGCCATTCAGTAGTCTGCTATGTCTTCTCGTCATAATGTCTGCATATAAGTATAAGTGTGATGCATATGTATATACAAATGTGCGTCATCCAGAATACATGTCGCACTACATAGACCGAATTATTGCCATGCATATACATAAGTTTGGCATTTATTATTATAACCGAAATCAATACTCTCTAASGCATTAAAATTCCTCAAATGTAATTGGGTTAATTAGATACTTGTTTACCGTATTTATGCTCCTATATGCGCGCATATTAAATACAATTTGAAGATCATTTTCAGATTGGTGAAATTAATTTTATGATATACAAGGAGGATTCCAAAGTAAACAACACTTAAAAAAAAACAAAAAAAAAAAACAAAAAACAGAACAAATAGTTTTTTCGGCAAAACCAATTCATTTTATGCAAAATAGTCTGCTGCTGCTTCAATACAGCTTTTTGCACGGTCCAAAAGCATGTCGAACGAGTGTTTTAGCCCGTTGGCCGGTATGGCCGCCAGTATGCCGGTGCAAGCCTTTTGAATGGCCTCTACGTCTGCCTAACGCTTTCCTTTCATCTGCAAATGCATTTTTGCGAAAAGGACGAAGTCGCACGGTGTCATATCAGGTGAATACGGGGAGTGGTTAATGGTTCAAATGTGATTTTTGGTCAAATAATCGGTCACATTGATGTCCTACTAATGTTGGATTCTGAGCAATTTAATCGTAAGTCAATTTGTCCAGAACAAAGCGTGCACACACCTTTCGTAAGCTCAAATGTTCGGTCACAATGCGATAAATCGATGTATTGGAGATATTCAATTCCCTTTCCATGAATTTGAATGATGATTTCGACTGATTTTTGATGAACTCACGCACAGTTTCGATGGAATTACCGGTGATCACGGATTTTGATTGGCTCACATGTTGATCGTCATTTATGTCCTBACGRCCAYTTTGAAAACGTTGAAACCACTCGTGCACTCTGCTACTYTGCTGATAGGCAATCATCGCCATAAACTTGTTTCATMAATTGAAAATTTGGTAGAAATGTATTGTCAAATGAGAGAGAAAGTTTTCCATATGTATATATATACATACTATACTACGGGACATAACAGACGGACATGGCAAAATTGTCTTAGCTCGTCACACTGATCCGTTTTTTATATAGTTTAAATGGTCTCTGACATTTTCGTTTGGWTGKCACAAACTTCTTGGYAACCTTAATATAAACTGAAGGAGATTGRAATTTTTGTTTGAAAGAAAGTAAACCTCTTTTTTTTAAAAAAAGTTTCCCTTCCAAATAGACAAAAATGACAGACTAAAAAGTACGTGTCCTTTAAAATAAAAATTCTTATTYTTTTTTKKTKTTYYTTTTTTTCTACATTCGATTTATTTGGAAGAAATTTTCACTCTACTGAACCCCTGCACTGCTGAAACAACATTTCTTTTAATCGTCGGAGTCGAGGGAAAATTTTAATCTATTTTGATGACATCTSTTTAAATTGCCTGCCTAGTTCCATGAGTGAATCTTAATTGTAAAAGAGGAAATATGGTCTGTAAAATACTTGAGTGTAGATTTAAATTGCCAGATACCTGCATTGTGTCTAAAAATTAAAATCATTAATTTATAAAATGCGAATTCGTAGTTTACTCTTCCAAAACGACTTCATCTATTTCAAGGAAATCCGTCAGACTCACTTTCCTCTATCGCTTTCAAGATTGTCTTCGATTCGTTTTTTATCTCCTCAATTGTGTGAAGACGTAGTCCCTGCATTGACATTTTGAATTCTATTGTCTGAGTAGAGTTTTTGGCAAAACAGTCCAGAAGAACCATTGACAGTAAGACATGGTGCATTATCGTGATGTCAAAACCGCGCGTTGTTTTTCCATAATTTCGGCGATTTCAGTAGCTTGACACAAATGAYGCACAACACTCAAGTAGTATTCTTTGTGGGCAGTTTGGTCCGGCRGAAGGAATTCATAGCGCACCACACACGATARTTGATCAACCTTACGTGTGCCTTTCGGTTTTGCTTCCTCTTTTGTAGGGTATTCGCTGGATTAGTTGTTGGTTTCAACACTCTCTAGTAATAAGGCGCTTTGTTCTTTTTTTTTTTAATTAGCGATTTYGGCACCCATCGAGACTTGATGTATTTCATATACAAAACAAAATTGGGAGTCATTAAGTATGGGCTAAATATGTTCCGAAGCTTTGAATTCCAATTCGCGACGTGTTCCTTTAGTGCATTTTTTATATGTCATTTGTTATTTCATTGGGTTTTTTAATGATAAGTTTTTGTTTTCGGTATAATTTTAAATTTTTTACACCTTTATTCGTATTATTGACATCGCAATTAGAGCAACACTTGGACAGGTCATGTTCGATATCCTTTACGGTTTTTACCACTGTGATGTTCAAATTTCAGCTGGTTTCAGCGCGTTTGCCTTCTCAAATATTGGCAGTTGCTGAAAAGGTAGTAAGTTTGTTCGCTTCGGCGTCTCTTGTAATTCAGGATTTTCTTKCCATGCCATTCCGAACGCTGAAAATGGCAGTTCATATGTGGTGCTCGATACGTTGGTGATTCYTTCATTGTTGAATCCATCGAAGATCCGCGGTTTCATGCGTTTTACGTTTTTATGTCACATAATTTACTCTGATTGCTGAATGATTGGAAGACTCAGGTAGTCGGCACTGTGAGTTCAAACGGACTGAGATAAGCACTTGTACGATATGTGCTTCCAAAAGACAAACCAGATGGGAAAAAGTCGTGTTGGCTACTGTTTACGAACTGTTTCAACACTGCCTCAGTGAATAMGTGAAATATCCGCTGTCTCATCGCTAAGAAAAATAAATCAAAATCTCTCAGGAAAATCTAATTCAAATCGGAACTGAGGAAAGCTCTCTTGACGTACGTTAAACAGCAGCTAGCGGATGCAGAAGATGTAGATTCGGATACAGATGCTGAATGGACCCCTATAACTTCCACGAATAAACATGCGAGAACTCGACGTTTGAGTTGTACACACTACAATTTTCAGTAAAAAATGTGTGAAAAGAAGTCACGTAGCGTGTTCCGATGTTCAACATGATTCGAAATCCTAAAATCCAAAATTTTACAAATATTTTCTGCGCCACCTCCAAAAAAATACTTATGAGTTTCACGTAGTCTCATAAAGTTATAAGTTATAATGTTTCGAAAACATAGCGTTCAGAGTTGTATTCGCGTAAACTTATTTTAGTATGCAATCCTAAAACAAATTTTTCAAACTCGTTTAAAAATTTTTGATTTTATGATTTTACAATGCTTTATGACACGTTGTGAGTACYCCAACTAAGAATATATGTTTAACACCTTAACGCCACTGCTTACCAAACTATCAATTTTATTGCACAACATTTGCATGCATCTAAATGCAGCAGCAATCATCTAATTYACTAACATTTCGTGCGACTTTCTCTTTGCAGCTTGAAAAAATTACACAAAGTGCAGCTACTCGTCGCCGAGGCGAACATCTTCTATCATCCGAACTTGGAGCGCCAACTGCGCGCAGACTGCGAGGCGCGCGCCAACTACAGCAGCTACGCGTGCCGCCTGCGTGACAGCGTCATTGGCACTCACCAATTTCGAGTCAATCAATATGATTTGAATTTTATGTGGCAACAAATGGAGGCGTACGCACAATACACCGCCCACAATAGCAGCGCGCCGAATGCGGAACTGGCGAGCGAGAGCGCGATTGGCGCCAGTACAGCGCAGCGCGCAAAGCGCGGTACAGGCGGCGGCGGTGGCGCGCGGGATAGCGAGGATGTGGCAACGAAGAATTACCGCTACTTCACGGCGCAGTCAGGCGTGGATTTCAAGAGCAGCACGCAGCTGATTTTCGATGTGCTAATGCAGATAATTGAGGTGAGTGCGTAAACTCTGCTGCCGAGCAGTGAAGTGAGTTGAGCGCGAAGGGCGGGGAGGGGATTTCGAATAAAATGTTAAAACCACTGAGTAAAGCAAACGCAAGACAATTTCCGATGAATATTAAGGCAGGTGCGCGTTGCGCGCTTGGCATGCAGATTGCGTGCAAAGTTGCAAATTGCTTRGTGCAACTTATATAACTTGCARCGCGCAACTTGCGACTTYCAGCTATTCGTGCAACACGCRAAATCAATCAAAATTTCACGCGCAACTAATGCAAATMACAGTTAACGCCAGTTGTCAACGCGCAGCTTGTTGCTACCGTTGTTGTTGCACATAAAATTTTGCAMCGTTATGTATGCAACTGGCGGCACCGAATGACAGAAATCCAAATTGGAATTCATTAGGCGAACGCGTTGCGGTTTCGAAGGACATTCGCCTGGCGTTTTGTTAATTGCTTCGCTGCTTGCAACGCGGAAACCAACAGTACACACACACACATATATATATATATATATATAGCTGTAGTCACTTTAGTCAGTCTCGATTATTGCTAACGGCCTGGCATGGCATTTGAGTTGCCTTGAGCGGGCCGATATGTCGTATGAGCAACATTCTGTACGCACTTTGCATGCCACACACGCTTGCCACACACACATGCAACACACATATTGTTATGCGCGCGGCCAAATAAATTTTGACACAAATTCACTTGCTGTGGCATGTAAAATTCGCCAGTTCGCAACAAACGCGCAGCTGCCGCGCCGCGCCACATGTGTGTAGTGACGCCTATAAGGCAGCCCTTAACACAGTAGATTCGTGACAGCTTTTGTTATTACTCACAAACGTTCGTTTGTGCGCCCCTGGAGTTCATGGCAAAGTTTTGCCTGTGTCACATAAATTGAGTGGCGTGMAAGCGCGCAATGCCGTCGCTAAATGTTTGCTGTCTGAATGACTCTTACTTGATCTTGGCACACACACAGCGCACCTTCAGATCATATTTAAATCCACAATGCGAGCGACATTCGGCTGCTCACGTGCGTTTACAAAAGCATTTGGTTGAAGCRAAGCTACGTTTTCCCTGGAGTTTATGTGCTCCTCGGCTTAGGTTTAAACTTTATAGWGAATTTTAACATTAAAACAACCTTAAAAAGAACGAAAATTTAAAGAATAGTGTAAATTTTCTCTCTCTCTCCCTCTCTCTCTCTTAAATACCAATATCTGAGGTAGACGTGCCGACAACCGGCCGCTTTCTGTATTAAGATACTTTTTCGGCTGAATTTTTTGGCCAAATCACAAAAGCAGCTTTGTGAGACAAAGTGGGTACAAAGACATGATGTGGGTACATTGGAATTTTCTGTCTCAGTTAGTGTGATTCGATTCTGCAGAATGAATCAATCGACCTTGTSAAAGCATCAAACGTCATAACAACACTGGTTGCAACACTGAACACACGAAGAATACATGCTGATCATCACTTTAATACGTTTTTTTCCCAATGCCACACAGATGGCTGAAAATTAGATGTTGAAGTGAAAAAAACTCAGAACATGTTGACGTCAGAGTCATCGAAACAATCACCCATCTCAAAGCTGTGAAGACT